CAGATGAAAAAAAGTAAAATTAAAGAAATTATATTTTTCTATTATGAATTGTCGAGCCGTGAAATCTCGTAAAAGAAACCGAGTGGTGTAGCGTTACACGCTTGATCGACAGCGAGCGAGATAACATAGGCGCAGCAATGACGCAAACTAGGCGTAGGACCATCTATACTGACACTTGTAGAATCCAAACTGACTGACGCTTGTAGAGAATTTACTGTAGTTAGAACCTATGTAACTGGTACCCCAAACATAATCGTATCACGATTCATGATTGCTCGTTGTAAACAATACGTCACCGCCGATGGACATCATTTTGAGGTATTTATTAACGTAAACAATAACTTCACATACCATCCTAACACTGTTTTGGAATTTGATCATCTTTTTAGGGTTCAAGGACGTAACTCATTGTCAGACGTACTTGAATGTATTTTAACACCCGCTATATATGCTTTCCTGCAAAGAAATACCGATAGCAGAAAAATTTGGAAAAAAGAATGACCACGAAAAAAATTTTTTCGTACATTTTGTTCCTCGTTCGAAATCATACAAATTATGTCTCGAACATTTTTCGATATCATTCGAAACAAAGGAGCTGTTAATGTTAGGTTAAGTTAGGTTAGGATTTTTCTGGGATACTCTGTATAATTAAACACGTTCTTTTACATTCCGTGCGTAAAACTAGGAGAAAGTTGAGTTAGATATGCAAGCTTCTAAGTGAATTATAGCGTAGAAAATTAATCCTGATGACATTTCTTACGAAATAAAAATTTCTTATAATATTAGCAATTAAAGTGTTTATTTTTTACAAAGAATGCATTTAAACATTACTAATTAGACCTTGCGGGTCAACGTGACGATAACCGAAAGGAAATGGAAGAAACAGTAAGTCAGTGAAAGATAAAATCAAATGCTGTTACGCAAAAATTGACGTTTATTATGCAACCCTACTATGTGTAAATACTTCTGTTACATTTACTATTAAATGTGTAAGGACGCTTTTTCATGTTACATGTACAAAATAGCAGAATTTGTGAACTATTAATTAAACTAGCAACTTAAGTTTGTTATCTTTCAACGTTTTATAAGAATCACTTCAATCTTTTATATCGATATTAAATTTAAATCAAATTTAAATTCATATTCATTGGCTACAGTAGCAATAAGAATACAAAAAGAGAGATTTTCAGGATTCATATACATAAATCTGTCATTATCTGCCCTTGCTATTTTATTTAGAGTGGCTTTTCTTTTTTAACGTAATTAGAAAAGTAAAAGTACGCAACTATTTGCATGTATCTTATAAATATTGTATAGTCATGATCCATATTGGTAATCTATTTTTCGACAATTAACTATTTATCTACTTCATTTTCGTATATATTGTTATATTAACCTACAATTAATCGCGTGTATATGTCATAGTTTTATTATAAATCACTCAAATTTGGTACCTTATATTCACTTTGTTACTCAAGATGTAGAAAAGATTAGTCGCATATTTTAATTGAACTATCATTTTATTTTATCATGATGTGATACAGGTTAAAATAAGAGTGATAAATGCATGGTGTGGTTTCACCAGAAACGAGGTACATATAGGGTAGACCAATCATCTTATGGGACTTTTTGTCACACGATCTGAAATACCGACGTCGTCCAAAAGTACTGGTCTTGAAGCGCACTCTACGCTTAAGAATGATCATTTTAAGAACTGCATCACGCAAAACGATCGATATTTGTCATGCGTATATTGTTACTGTGTTGTCAATACAGCCTTGGATCCCAAAACGCAAATATATGTGACTGAAACCATTCTGATTCTTTCTAAGATTCGAAATTTTCTCTCCTTCATTATTTAGAATAATGAATGCCAAGTGTTCTTGATTTCACTTCCTACCACTAGTTGTACAGTGATATAATATCAGTCCCAGTCGATATAGTAGGATGATGGTAACGGGGTTCCCGAACACCGCGGTCATGTAACAAAAAAGTACTACCTTGTATATTGTAATCTTTGCAAAATACATTTTATACACTTATCTTACAATAAATAATTACTTTTTTTATAAATTATTGCATTTCTTAATTTTTCCTGATATTTAAGTCCTTTCCTTAATTTCGGTGGTATCCTGGAAAGACCATCTGTAATTCATATGAAAAGAACATTAACTTTTCTAATTTTTAATAAAAGTTATAAACAATTTCTGACTAATCTACTGCATGCCATTATTATTTCAATGCAAAATTAATAAATTAAGCTGTTTTACTAAGTTAAATCGTACGAAAAATTTATTTAACATTTCAATAATTATAAACTATCACCTACATTGTTATTTAACAAGAAACGCTAATTATTCTATAATTTAAGAAGTTGAAAATAAACCAGAAACTGTCATTGCTATCTACATTGCATCTAATATTAAAGTAATTAAAAATTCATTATAAGTATCAATTAAATACAATTAGGGATAACGAGAAGAAAGACAAGGGAACGAATAGCGGTAGGCAAGGATAGCACTAGAGAAATGAGTTAGACAAAGACAGGAATAGGGTTAGACAAGGACAAAGAATTTTTCATAATAAATTAACGCCATCTCGTGTTTGGCTGCGCGAACTAACGACTCGTTACTAGGAACACAGAATGCGAACAGAGGTATTAGACAAGGAAAGCACTAGTGTGCGAGAAGGATAGAGAGAAAACGTTTCCTATTGGTTCGCGAGCCGTAATGGCCGCCACCCAGACGCTACATAAAGTCGGCCAGGGAAAAATCATTAATAACTCATTATTTACAATTAATTTGTGAACTTTCATGATTGAAGAATGAAGTGTGAACCTTTAGTAACTTTTACATATAGATTTTATTGCTCTAAATCCTTTCAGTAATTAGTTATTAATAATTTTTGTGCGGAGTGTCAGCAGCGATACCGCATACCCTTCTGGTTTTTCATTAATTTTGCAGCTTTGCACAAATAATTTATGCACTTTCATACATGCGTTCGAAAGGCTATTCCTTTAGCTAGTTTCTTGTTCTATTTTCATTAACATAGACGCCGTAGGTTGCGGGATATTAAACATTATTTGGGCGCGTAATACACTCGTCGTATTCAAGCGTAAAGGTTGTCCGTCATTTTCACGAATATGCATGATTAAATTTGGACGTTCAAGTATGTAGAATATAGTATACACTTTTACCTACATTCTGCAATCATTTTTAAATGCGTACGTGATGTGCTTTATTAGATATTAGCAAATGTTTGTAAGAGTTGATTCTACCCGAGTACGATAAATAGGAGACTCTCTCATATAATGTTTAATAACTTTTAAACTACAAGTGATATGTTAATAAAAATTATAAAAGAATATAACCAAAAGAGTCGCCTTTCAGACATATGTATTTATTTGTATGAGAAGTTGGCAAAGAACTATGTAATTATTGAAAAATCGTAAAGGTATACAGTATCGTTCCCGACATTCCGTACTAAAATTGTTAATAACTAATTACTGAAAGGATTTATTATAATAAAATCTATATGTGAAAGTTGCTAAAGGTCCACACTTCATTCTTCAATCCTAAAAGTTCACAAATTCACCGTAAATAATGAGTTATTAATGATTTTTCCCTGGTCGACTTTATGTAACGTCTGGGTGGCGGCCATTACGGCCCACGGACCAATAAGAAACGTTTTCTCTCTATCCTTCTCGCACACTAGTGCGTTCCTTGTCTAATACCTCTGTTCACATTCTGTTTTCATAGTAACAAGTTGTTAGTTCCCGCAGCCAAACACGAGATGGCATTAATTCCACTTTTTAAATTTTCTGTTCTTATCTACCGCTATTCCTTTCCAATTAGCAACAACAGTATTCGCGCTTCGAAGTTTGACTTCTTTTAAAACGAGGTCTACGAGTGTTATTATTGAAGTAGTAAAATCTACTTCATCTTATACGTTCCTATATGTCTTGTTGCTCCATTGCGTTAGTAGTAAATGAATTTGCATATCTATTTACATGAAGTTACTCTACCGATGTATGAAAGATCCACCTTTCCTTTCTTTTTTTAATTTAAAATCTTTCCTCGCGTATAATAAAGTAATTACAGCTCTCTATTAATTTTATTGGTTCTTTATTCTTTATACTGTTAAACATTCAATGTACATTAATCAGTACATAGTTAATAATTAAAATATTTTTTGTATTCCAGTGTCACGAACACAAACTGAGCCAGCGGAATTCCACGATTCTAATATTTCCTACAGAATTATAAATCCACATATAAATATGTATAAAAATGATCCTAATTATTACAGAGCGAACGTAACTGTAAAATATAAGTATCATACTTTTATACGTTAATCTACAATTCAGTGAAAAATATTCCTCATATTTGTCTGCCTTAGAAAAGAATTTCTTAAATTGTACCATTCGTATTTCGCGACTCAATCTGTTGCCTGCATATTGATCGATGAATTATCAGGTATACAAATTAATTTAGCGCCTTTTCTCACAAATTTCAATCTGTATTTACAAAAGCATCAAAGATAACTTTAACGCTCAAAATAATCTCCATTATTCTGGATGACCATTTTTCCACTTATCTGACTTAACTGACGAATTCCCTCTCTGAACAAATATGGCGGTTTCGAGTGGATAAGGTCGTCGAGACTTCGCGAAGAAAGACACCGAATTAATTCGTACACCCTAAATACAAGCACGATAATTGAACTTCACTAGACACAGTACACGTCGCAAAAACACTCACGCAATCGCAGATTGCGAGCTCCTATCTTTCGTGTCCGCGTTTTGCAGCTGACTGTCCCTCGCGATAGCGTTCTCGCGAAAATTCGACGTGCTCGAGGACAAGAGGCGACGGGGTGCGCGTCTGTGAAGATCCACCTGTTTCAGGATTCGTCCCAGCGAGTTCTCCGTGCTCGTTATAATCGGCGAGAGGCTAAGGCTCGGTGCGGTGCGTGATTTAATCATGCGAGCACTCCTTGGTGATCGCGTCATTTTGTCGTTTCTGCGCCTGACAGACTTCAGTTTCACGCTGCGCAGCATGTCCAGGGAGACCACGGGGCCCCTTGGCCCCGGTATGGTGTTCCTTCTGTTCTCCTGCAATGTTACAATTTATTCTTTTCAATAGTTTTTTACTATACGGTCCAGAGATTAATTTTATTTTGAGAAATTTGTTATTTAAACTCCGATGTTGAACGGTCTGCAAGGTTTACAGGGGCCTGTGACGATATTTTCCGGACATGATTACTTTGAATTTTTAAATAACCCGCGAGTATCCGGTTAAATAACAACGATGGCCGAGGAGGGAATAATTAACTTATATTTACGCTTAAATTCAAGGAATCAGTTTAGAAAAACCCCTCTGCACCAAACTTCATTAGCCCTCGCACGGAGTAGCCCTCGCAGGGTCCAATCGGACCCATACGAATAAATTGCTACTTTCGTCACTGAGTATGAGTTTTTCAATCAAATTTTTACTATTTTCTATCTATGGAGCTGTGATTTCTAAAAATATTATTATTCTTAGTATCGTTTGCTCAATGTTAACGTGAATACTGGCAATGTGCTTCAAGTTTACATCTTTCCGACGAACATGCTTTTGTCTTTTGTTCTGTATGGAGCAGGAAGGGATAACGCGTGACGCCTGGCGACGTTCGACTGTTTCTAAACATGAGTCCGCCCGGCGAGGGTTAAGTATCCTCTCGTCGTATTCTATAGACATTAATCCTTTCATGATCAATGACACGCGTATGTCCCATTGAAGTACTCCTTAAAGAACGTTGATCTCAATTTAGTATCCGTTGTACATACTCGATGATCAATAGATACATAAACAATTTTTTGAAAAAACAATCCTGTCACAAAAGGGTTAAAATACTAAAATCTGTCATTTTTACATAAACGAAAATTGTTTTCAGTGTGTATGAAAAATCATTTCTCTATCCGCAACTAATATTCCAGAGGCCAGGTATCTCCTCTATGAACAATCCTCTGGATTTACCTTAACGTTTTGCGGTGCTTTTTTCAGAGTCACCTTCAGCAAATCCTCGACAGTGATAACCGGCCTACTAGGCAGCGGTGTCGAGCACTTTCTCGAGGGCATCCTGACGCTTCTGCTTTTCGGGGTGGTCGGCGTAATCGGCTGCGCTGGCGACTGCAACGACGGAAATGGAGGTGGCGGCGGCGGAGGAGGTGGAGGTGGAAGAGAAGGAGGAGGAGGTAGAGGAGGAGAAGGTGTCGGTGGTGGAGGTGGAGGTGGAGGAAGGGCAGGCGGCCTGGAGGACATGAAGATCGATGGCATTGGAGGTGGTGGAATCGGTGCATTCTTCGGGGATTTCGATCGACTATCCTCCAGTGTTTGATGCAGCTTCTGCAGCTCCTGCATCAGAGGAGCGTTGCTAGCTCTCACCTGCGATAAAGAGACAAAAACAGGAAAAAAGAATGCTAATGAGACTGAGTATAATTCCGTGATCGACGAGTAATGTTCGAGAATTGCTAATGAAAGATTACGATACTTCCTCCGCGACGCGTGCGCCTCTTTTTCACTCGATTGAAACACGTGAGAACGCGACTGTGGTGTCTTTTTGTGGAATTTTATTCTTTTCGGTCTCGGTATCGATTTTTTTCGCCGTGTCATGCGAAATGATACAGAGTAATTCGTTTAGAAAATTCTTAGGTGTTCAGTTTCTTCAGCTCTTTCCTCTTTGGTAATTATTAATACATTTAATTAAGGAACGCACCGTGGAATGAGTCGATTTTTTCCATGTTTTTCACTGAGATTTTTACCTCTCTCGGATTCTCAATTTTTCAAATTCTACTTTACACCGTTTGTTGCGATTTCTGTGGATTGTCAAGCGGCAACCGTCGCGAATTGCGGAGAATTGCGAATGAGAGATTACGACACTTTCCGCGCGACGCGTCCACCTTTTTCCTATTCCGCGTAGAAACGTGCTCGCTAAACTTTCACAGACTCTTCGAAGCGTCCAATCTCCCATTATTACTCTTCTCTTTCACGTTAAATCGTTCGAATGTGAATTTTTGCGAAGCATTAAGTAATTAATAGAACACCTGAGTGAGTTCGTCGGACAGACGCGTGACTTGCTCCACAAACGTGTTCAACATTTGCTTGTTCTCCGTGCGTAGCAGTATCACCACCTGGCTGAGCTCCTCCATTTGCTGCCTCGTTGAAGAGAACGTTGAAGCCGCTCGTTTCAAACCTTCGTAACTCTGAAACAGTTATTAACTGCATAATAACCGCAGATCGTTTTCTCCGAGAACCATAAGCTCACCTTTCCAATGATTCTCGCCATTCTCTTCATCAGCCAAACGCAAAACAAATAGATCTTAGCAGCAGGCTTCTTAAAAAATTGTTTTCTTAGAAATTTCTGATTCTTCTGGAAACTCGTACAAGAGCACTTCGTACTGAATTGAACATCTCGTTCAGGCTGTGAATAATAATCCATGTAACATCATTTCCCTCCTTGTGACGTCAATGTTTATTTATAAAAAGCCACGAATGTTTGACGAGAAAGAAACTTATACCATTTCCAAAGTAAACGAAAATCAGTAATTTAATGTTACCAGTGATAAACAAATTACTTCTTGAAGACATTTGCCGTAGCCTCCAGAGTCAGACACAACCGGAAGATCCAAGCTGGAGTTCGTCGGTGATTCAGTGCTGCCGCTACTCCAAGGTATTTTTGTGATCGTCAAGTTGGGGTAGAAGCAATTCTGAACGTTTTTCTTTTCGACTGGTAGCAGATCGGCTACAGTCACCGAAGCTGCAGGTTCTCGTTGCATTTCTGCTTCCTCTTCGTCGTCGAATTTCAAGGTGGTTCGACATCTCTTAGCGGGAGGTGGTGATCCTCTGCAAGGAGTCGTCGAACGAGCTCTGATTCCTGTAACATTACTATTCATCTCTCCATAATTATTTCGATCGTCAACTTTATCGTCGGTTTTCTCGGTCTCTTCGAAAGGTCGTTTGTTGGTACGTCCATTGGAGTTTTCCTCCGAAATCATCGACGGAGGAGTATTGTACAACAAGAAGCTCGTGTGCAACGATCTTGTCTCGTCAAATTTTTTGTACTTCTGCAAAAAGTTTCCGATACATTCTAAGTTAGAAGTGCGAATTTTCCAGTTATTTATCTGTCTCAAGTTCGAGAGGATTCGTCTGCATTCGCTCCAGTTGCTCATGCTGCGACTTCCGTTCGAATCGTCAGGATTTTTCTCGTTGACTATCTCGAATTTGGTTTGCTGTTCCTGTTCGTTCCATTTCTCGTAATATTTCTCGTCTTTTTCTTCAAATCGGCTGGTAAAATCGCAGGCAGAAATGGCCGATCGAAATTCGTCGAGAAATTGGTGGAAGCCATTTTGGTTCTCCAGTTCTGTCTTAAAATTAGCAAATTGAGCTGGTTCTGAAACGTATCCGCAAGGAAAATCGTACGACGATTTCGAAGAGCGTATGTCATTGTTAAAGATGTCAGAGTCCAGTTTATTTTTTGAAAAAGATTTTCCTTCCTGCAAGGACTGACAGCCATTCATGTCTAATCTTATCTCGTCGTTCATGGACAGAGTTTTGTCCAACTGAAAACATTTTTCCGTTTCTATATTGACATTTTGATTAGGAAAGTCTACTTGCTTTAATTCAACCACTTCCGGCTCCTTTTCCGGTATTCTTTCATCTTCTTTATTTTTGTTCGATTCGTTCAGGTCCAATTGCCTTCGACGAAGTCTGGGCACGATTTCTGGGCTCAATTCGACGAAGCATGGTAAATCTGGTACTTGTGACTCGAAAAGAACAGATTCTGGAGATCTCTGATGCAAAAGTCTCTCACTGGATTTTGGTTTCTTTTTTACCGGAGTATCCAAACTATCAGAAAGGTCCGAGTTTTGCAGTAAATTTTCTTGAGATTGAGACAGAGGTTGTTTTCGACGAGATCGTTTGTAATCCTTACGTTTTGTCATTTTTATTTCCTCTTGGACAGCTTACTGAGTGGTTCGGTGAATATATCCGACTATATTACTTTTTAAATTAAATAAATTAACTTGCACCATGAGAATCACATATTTCGAACGTAATACCGTTGCACATGTTTGATACACTGGTGACATTGTACTTGAATGGTCATTGGTTTGAATAATTGTTTGTTTTGATTCTAATTAGAGTATATAATACCACAGACGAGATATAGAGTAGACTACTCATTCAATGTATTTTCTTGCCACACGACCTCGGGGTCTTAGAACCCCGTTAACATTTTCGTGTCACATTCTACTGTATCGATTGGGACTGGTATTATATCACTGCGCTGTTAATAGTAGGAATTGAAATCAGGAACACTGATAAATAATGAAGAAGACAAAATTTCGAATCTTAGGATGAATCAGAATGGATTCAGTCACACACATTTGTGCTTCGGGTTGTATTGATAACACAGTAACAATGTACACACATAATCTTATCTTGGGCGCTAACTTTTCGAATTTACTTCCTGACCAATATCCATCGTTTTGCCCGACGCAGTTCTTAAAATGACCGTTCTTAAGAATAGAGTGCGCTTCAAAACCAGTGGTTTCGGACGATGTCGGTATTTCAAATCGTGTATCAAAAAGTCTAGTAAGATGATTGATCTACTCTATATCACAGACGACGTACCGGATAGACCTTGCATCTTGGAGTCTTCTTGTCTAGGGCTCTGGGGTCAAGAAGACCCTTACCATTTTTGTTACCGATTTAGCATAGAATAAGATTACACCATTAGTAGTGGTTGGAATTGGAATTAAACGTAACTATGAAATTACAAATAAAAAGGTAACGTAATTGTTTATTAGTAGATGATTCATGCTGTCAAAAAGTCATGAACAGTTCTATCCAAGCAATTCAATATACTCATCGCTTTACATCGTAGAGGGCATAACAAAAACTCTAGTTTGTTACACGATCGGTATTTCAGAACGTTAGTCACAAAAATACATTAGGTGCAAGGTCTTTTCTGTACCTCGTCTGTGCTTGTATCTCGTTTGTGCCTATATCTCGTCTGTAATAACACACGTAATACATAAAGTCACCGTTCTAAATCGTAGAGGGCGTAAGAAATCCTCAGAGTTTTGCTAGATCGGTATTTCAGTTCGTGTAACACGAAGTCCCATAAAATGAAAGATCTATTCTATACCTCGTCTGTGTTTCGATGTAAAAAATTGTATTTATAAAAAGGTGGAAACAATTCCAGCAGTTAATTTCCAATTTTGTAAATTAAATTTTATGCTATTAAAATCTTTTAAATTTTTAATTCAACTATGCATACTAATATAAGATCTTAAGTTTAATTTTTATTCACCATAGGCTTTAACTATTTAAACAATTGTGAAGTTCACGTTTAAATATATATTTTTCTGTAATATTTAAACTTAGCGGGTGATGAAGTTTACTAAACATACAAATCATAAATACATCATAACCTCTTATTTTTACCTTTAAATTCATAATATTACTAAAATACTTAGTATTAAACGAAAAAGTTATATGACGTACTTGCATGTCGTATTTATTGTACGTACATATGTTCATATTATATTTAAAGTATTAGGAATCGATGCATTATACGTATTGAATTGATTGAAAGCAAATTTTTGTCATTTACTTTTATATAATTTCTTTGTGCATATGTATTATTATTATTAGTAGTAATACATAATAATATTGTAGACAAGAAGTTTTCATTTTCGAAACATTTCAGCTTTGTATTATTAATTTCAGGCTACTAGTTAAATGTAATATTCATTAGTAAGAATGATCAATCATTTTAAGTTCACATTATACAAAATGGTGTTTTTTACGTGTTAATCTGTGTTTAAATGCAATTCGGTTAAAGGAATTTATCGCGTGGCCAATAAAACTAATATTCTGTCGAAACTGCTTTTCCCATCCATCGTATCCATCTGTCCATGAGTACGGGACAACAGCAGTTAGCAGCTGGCAGCCGCAATAATGTCTGTAGTGGATAAAATTAAGCATTATCAGCGAAATATTGAAAAATGTGATGACAATGAGGATAGAGTATGTATTGTTGCACTAATTTTCACCTTCTTCAAAATTTTAGCAATGTATACGACGATGTAGTTTTACTAATGTCGTTGAGGTATAACCTCACGATGATATTTAAACACAATTACGATAATATCTAAATTATACATTATTGTTAAAAATTTAACGGACATATTACAAAATATAAAATATACATACATATACGTATACGTCTTTTTTTGAATAAAAATAAATTTTTGCAATATTTATTCTATTGTATTTTCATTTTGCTTTATTCCTTATGTAAAACCAATCCTTTCAGAAAGAATATACTTTCCTGATTAATTTTATTTCTATTAACTTTGTCATTTATACATTTATATGCAATTAGGTTTATAATAAAAAAAATACATAGTTTCATGTTTTATATCTTTCTTGGTTACAATATTTTTCCTTAATGTATTATAATCATAATTATTAGATGTATAAATGCATTATAATTAATATATTGATTATAGCATATTATTTTGAATATGTTACAGATACTACATTGTATCTCAAAACTAACTAATCTGCCAGTAACAGTGCAACATCTCCAAGAAACTGGTGTAGGACGTACTGTAAATGCTTTAAGAAAATATGATGGTGGTATAGGAGATGCTGCTAAGGCACTTGTGGCAAAATGGAAAGCAATGGTAGCTAGTGAAGAAACTAGTGAAGGTGAAGAGGAGGATGAAGCATGTGTTCCTGATGCACCTGAAAGTTATAGCGACAGTCGAGAGTCACCGAAGTCTGAAGAAATTTCAACAAGGTGTGATAACATTTTAGCTTTTCACAAAATAAATTTTATTTTTTTCACAAAATAAAAGCATTTATATAATTTTAATACGTGAAATATTAAATATGTTACAAAGTGTTAATTTAATAATTAAATGCTGAAACTAGATGTTTCCCTGCAAAAAATTTTGAATTTTGCACATTGTTGGATAATGTATGTTATTTTATGTAACAATAGTCATCATAGAGGTACTTATTGAACATGTTAATAATTATTTCTTTCAAGCAAATAAAAATGCATATATTTAACCCATTTTACAGACACAAAAATGAAGGAAATGGGAAACATATACATAGGCATAAATCAGAGAAAACTGAAGCATCACATACATCACACAATAACAAACATGCTTTCAAACATGAATTGAAATTAAAACCTATTGAATCTCAATCAAAAGGTAATAGTGATATTGCTAAAGGTTCAAGTAATGATTCAGAAAAACAAAAGAAGCACGATAAAAGTAAACATAGTCATAAACATGAATCAAGAAGTGACAAAAAGTCTTCAAAGGATAATAAAAGTGCCTCTAAGAAAGATGAAATTCATGGTTCTAAACACCATAATCATACTAAGTCTGATAATACAGAGAAATTCTCTAATAGGTCAACTGATAATGGCACTATATGGAAAAACAATGAAGATAATCATAAAAAACGAAAAAATGATGATTCAAGTATTATGAAGAAAGAAAATAAACGAAGAAAAAATTCAGAAAGTGAAAGTGATGAAGGCAAACATGTAGCCTTTAGTTCTGAAAAGCATAATAGTAGTAGTACATTAAATATGGTTAAAGTAAAAGAAGAACCTAAGGATAAAGATATATTAACTAAAAATGAAATTAAACTTGAAAAGAAAGATTCTGAGGAAAAATTGAAGGCAAGTTCTAGCAAACATCGAAGTGATTCTTCTAATAATAAAGCAAAAGATACCGGAGAGAAACATAAACATAAAAGTGAGACACATACAAATCATAATAAAGATGAAACAAAGAAATGTGATTCTAATAAAGAATCATTGGAATCAAAGCTTCATAATAGTTCTTCTAGTGATAAGCATCATGATAAAAGTAAGGATAGAAGCAAGAAAAAGGATCTTAATGATGGAAAAAATAAACATGAAAGCAAAAGCAGTAAAGATTCAAAGTACTCTAAGCATGGATCAAAAGAACCAAAAGATTTAACAAAAATAAAGCAAGAAATTAATGGTGATGAAGGAATAGATTGCCATTCTGGTTAGTTCATGAATATTTGTTACTTTCAACTTAACCAGAAAAAAATATTTGTGACATTGTACTTTTTCATTTAGAAATATCAAATACATTTTTTTTTTGTTACTGTATTACTACATGCTTACACTACGTTTTCTAACATGTTCTGTACCACATGGGTTATTAATGGCTCATGGATAATATTTAATAATATTCAATATAAAAATATATTAATGTATAATAA